TAATTCTATCCCTTGGAAGGGAATTTCATTCCTGAAAGAGTTATCATGGGGAAGAGATATCTCCACTGAAGCTTTATCACCAATCCTTGTTTCAACAAGCCATTGTTTTCAAAATCCAATTATCAAAGGAACAGAAAGTGAGGTGAAATCTTTTGAACAGGGACACCAACAGGAAAACAAACACCACAGGGGTGTTCACCCTTCCTGAAGCTATCTAAAGCTTAGATAGATAGATAGATAGATAGATAGATAGATAGATAGATAGATAGATAGATAGATAGATAGATAGATGAGAGAAAGAGACTGGAAATACATTTTTAAAATGTTCTGATTTACATACAAATTCAATACAAGGGCTGGACTTTAGCACAGCAGGTTAACCACCAGCTACAGTAAATCTTGCCAACCAAAAGGTTGGCAGTTTAAAGCCTGAGTCGGGGTGAGCTCCTGGTCTTTAGCCCAGCTTCTGACTACCTAGCAGTTTGAAAGTAAATGTGAATAGATAAATAGATACTGCTTAAAGCAGGGAGGTATTTAAGGCAACCATAAGGAAATGCCAGAAAAATGCTGATGATTCAATCAAGGAGGAAGTTTACAAACAAAGCTCTTCAGCAGGGAAAGTGGACTGACAGCCCCTCCTCCCAATGGCCAGAACCGAGCACAGATTCCAAGACGTCAAAGATGGGAAAGCCTATATATACCTCTATCTATGTGCAGTTCAAGTTACTGAGACCTGAATATTTAAAAACTTTTCTCAATTTCTCAGAAGTATGAGGACTGCTTGATTGAATGAAAGAGTAACTATTTTGTTATATAGAACAATAATTTTGAATTAAATGTGATCTAATTAACATTAATACTTTTTGTCCTTTTGAAGATTTGGTGCTAATTAGTCTTGTTCAACATGCCAGTACTGTTACTTCCAACATGGCATCTTTTTACAGCTCTACCAATCTAAAGCCATTAAGAAAACATAATTATTCTCATAATTCTTGAAATGATCATATTGATATTTTGTCAGGATGTTAACACATCTGTCCCTATTTAATCATATGTTTTTACTATCAAAAAAGTTTTGAAAATAAAATCTTAGAAAAAGAATTGTGGATCTAAGAAAGTAAAACAAAGACTGGAAGCTTATATTTGTATATATCACAAGTGTATATTTATTTATATACCACAAATCAATGGAAGTCATTGCAGCTGTATAGTCAGCACAGGATTTCTAAGGTCTTATGATTTAAAAAAATACTGCTGCATATTTGTTTTGCAATAGATAGAAAATAATCACGGCACGTACTTTGTAAACAATGAAAGTCTCTGCTTGTATCCTTGTTTGTTATCACTCATCTTATATAATTTATAGACTCAGTACATTTCAATAGTCAAACTGAAATAATGATTTAAGGATGACATTTCTGAAACATTACAGAGTGTTCTGTTTTAATAGTATCAATCCCACCCACACCCGTTTGTAAAAAAAAATAAATCCCTCAACATATTCATACTGCTCAGAGACACAGCACACAAGAAGATTCCTAAAATCAGGATCATTGAGCATGTAGTTAATTCTACATGAATCCATACTACAGATGTTAATGGACAAAACAACAACAACCAACTTGAAATTCAAATGACGCTGTGACAAGAACTATGGCTACACTGTGGGCCCTTAGTATCCATTGAGACGTGATTTCATAACCCTGTGGATACCAAAACCCATAGATACTCAACTCCCAGCCAGTTTGACGCATACATTTTAAACTTGAGTCTTATGTTTAACCTTTATTTTGTGTATTTTAATATGTATTTTGTAGAAATATGTTTAAATATATATATTTATAGAATATTTTAGACGACTATATGTTTTTAGCAATGTTGGAACCCACCTCAAGCCACAAGGAGTGGCAGGTAAGAAATAATAATAATAATAATAATAATAATAATAATAATAATAATAATAATAAGTGGATTATTGAATCTATGGACGCAGAATCTGCGGCGATGAAGAGCCAGCTGTAAATCCTGGCAAGCTGAAGCTAGAAAGGGAGAGATGAATGCACCTTCAAATATACAACTGGCAATGTTTTGAAAGGCCATCTCTCTGTCAAACATAGACTGTGCTAGAAAAAAGAAAATAGTTGCTTTAATAGCATTTGTTTTATGTTACAATACATGATTTCACAGACAAAAAAGATCCTCTGTTTTGGAGGGGGAAAGAGCTAATGTTGATCTGTCTAGACGCTCTGCTTTAAACACAACTGAACTACATTTTTAATCAAGCCAAAACACACTTGCGGCTTAGGATACCATTGGGGTCCAAAGGAACAAATAACTGTTTGCTGTAATGCCAACTTGAATGAATGTGGATCTTTTCTCCTTCCATTAATGAACCAAAAGGCTTCAGTCGTGACTATTTCCCATTGATTTCAATGGAACTACTCCTTTGGAAGAGAGACTTCCTATTGGCTCTCATTTCAAGAGACCACTGCGACCCCCACCAATGACTGATCTGGACCAAACTTGGGACACAAACCCTTTTATGACTACATTTACATCCTGCTGAAGTTTGGGGGAGGATGGAACATGGACGATGGGATTTGCAGTACCTTCATCCACTTCCATAGTTTACTGCAAACCCCAAACCCCATCAGCCATGGATATGGACCAAGCTTGGTACATAGACTCCCCATTACCAACTTTACATGCTGCTGAGGTTTGGGGGAGTGTGGGCCATGAACGATGGGATTTGCAGTACCTTCACCCACACCCAGAAACTACTGAAAACCTCATTTGACATGGATATGGACCAAACTTGATCCACATGACCCACTTTACGTCCTGGTGATATTTGGAAGAGGATGAGTTGTGAACTATGGGATTTGCAGTACCTTCACCCACATCCAGAAACTACTGAAAACCCCATCAGGCATGGATATGGGCCAAACTTGACCCCCATGACCCACTTTATGTCCTAGTGAGGTTTGGAAGATGATGGGTTATGAACTATGGGATTTGCAGTAGTTTCACCCACATCCAGAAACTACTGAAGACCTCATCAGGCATGGATATGGACCAAACCTGACCCCCATGACCCACTTTATGTCCTGGTGAGGTTTGGAAGAGGATGGGTTATGAACTATGGGATTTGCAGTACCTTCACCTACATCCAGAAACCACTGAAAACCCCATTAGCCATGGTGGATACAGACGAAACTTGGCGCACAGATCTCCCCATGACCCACTTTATGTCCTGGTGAGGTTTGGAAGAGGATGGGCCATAAACGATGGGATTTGCAATACCTTCACATACATCCAGAAACTACTGCAAACCCCATTGGCCACGGATCTGCAGCAAATTCTAATAGATTCATTCATAACATCCAAAAACAAAAAATGCCTTTTTCAAATAACCCAGGCATCACCGGGTACCCAAAATAGTATAATAATAATAATAAGCACTGTGGTGTTTTTTAAATTGGTTGTAATGGCTTCAATTTTTTTAAATACTAGGTTTAAGTCTATTTTAATGTTTACAATATTATATAATATATAATAATAATAACAATAACTTGTTATTTGCCTTTCCTCGTGGCTCTAGTCTTTATAGGTTTCAGGTTTTAAATTGTGCATTGTGTTATTTTAATCACTCTGGGTCTCTTCATAAGAAAAAAATATACAAATAAATGTAATAGCAATAATAATAATAATAATAATAATAATAATAATAATAATAATGAGGATTTAAAGATCGAACTGCAAAGACTTTGGCACAAGCCAGTCAAGGTGGTCCAAATGGTGATCGGCACACTGGGTGCAGTGCCTAAAGACCTTGGCCTGCACTTAAACTCAATCAGCACTGACAAAATTACCATCTGCTGGAATCTGCATGCATTATTTGCCGATACATCACACAGTCCTAGACACTTGGGAAGTGTCCGATCTGTGATCCAATACAACAGCCAGCAGAGTGTCTGCTGTGGACTTATCTCGTTGTGTTTCTAATAATAATAACACTGGGTGCAGTGCCTAAAGACCTTGGCCTGCACTTAAACACAATCAGCACTGACAAAATTACCATCTGCTGGAATCTGCATGCATTATTTGCTGATACATCATACAGTCCTAGACACTTGGGAAGTGTCTGATGTGTGATCCAATACAACAGCCAGCAGAGTGTCTGCTGTGGACTCATCTTGTTGTGTTTAATAATAATAATAATAATAATAATAATAATAATAATAATAATAATAATCACACTGGGTGCAGTACCTAAAGACCTTGGCCTGCACTTAAACACAATTGGCACTGACAAAATTACCATCTGCTGGGATCTGCATGCATTATTTGCTGATACATCATATAGTCCTAGACACTTGGGAAGTGTCTGACGTGTGATCCAATACAACAGACAGAAGAGTGTCTGTTGTGGACTCATCTTGTTCTGTTTATAACAACAACAACAACAACAACAACAACACCGGGTGCAGTGCCTAAAGACCTTGGCCTGTACTTAAACACAATCGACAATGACAAAATTACCATCTGCCAGCTGCAGAAGKCCACCTTACTGGGATCTGCACGCATTATTCGCCGATACATCACACAGTCCTAGACATGTGGGAAGTGTCCGACGTGTGATCCAATTCAACAGCCAGCAGTGTGTCTGCTGTGGACTCATCTTGTTGTGTTTCAAATAATAACAAAAACAACAACAACAACAATAATGGGGAGAAAAAAGAAGTGGGCACAAAGAAACATTATCCATATTCACCCCAACTAAAGTATGTCATAGAAGCAGATGGGATTTGCACAATTAAAAACAAAACATTTGGTCTGCATGACTCTAAGCCCCATCTACACTGCCATACAATCCAGTATCTGAAGCCAGAACTGAACTGGATTGCATGGCAGTGTAGAAGGGGCCTGAGTGGGCTGGGGCCTGCAATGGCCAAAGAAAACCCCTTGAGGGATGAGAAGCAAGAAAGAGCTGTACTCACCAGTGACACAAATAGACTCCAGCATCATTCGTGATCAGAGCTGTTCCTGTGTCTGTCTCTCCTTCCCCTTTTTACTTTGTGCCCCAAAGACGGCACTGCCCAGTTGTGATGGGAAGGGAGGATGGACTGCTCACGACCACAAGGCTTGCCAGGCTCTGTACTACTACTAGCTCCCCTCCTTGGAGGCAGCCGCCCCAGAGCGGTTCTCTCCGTTGCTAGGACACCCGCCAATCCCCGCCCACCACAGCTTGGACTCAACTGCGGCTGCGCAGTCTGGGAGAATGGACCAGCCTCAGAAGGAAAAGGAGGAGGCGGTCTGCTTTTCTTAGATACTGGAGGAAGACAGGTGTGCATCATTATTAGCATGGTGTTGTGATTAGAGCGCTGAGTTACAACTTTAGAAGAACAGGGTTCGAATCCTCGCTAGGTAACCCATTGGCCTTAACTTCAGGGGATAAAAAAAGGCTAAACCTTTTGTCCTAGGGTTGCCATCAATAGGCAGCCACAGAAATTTTGGATGGGAAGGGGCAACCTGGCCTTCCAGATGATGTTGGTCTCAAGCCTTTTAGTATAGTATAATATACTGGACAAAAGAACCAATGAGGGAAATCACACCAAATTTGGCAACAAAACATCTCACAACACAAGGAGTGACCCCCACTCAAAATATTATGATTTTGTCATTTGGGAGTTGTAGTTGCTGGGATTTATAGTTCACCTACAATCAAAGAGCATTCTGGACTCCACAAATGATGGAATTGAACCAAACCTGGCACACATGACTCCCCTGACCAACAGAAAACACTAGAAGGGTTTGGTGGGCATTGACCTTGAGTTTTGGAGTTGTACTTCACCTACATCTAGAGAGCACTGTGGACTCAAACAATGATGGATCTGGACCAAACTTGGCACGGATACTCAATATGCGCAAATATAAAGATAGATGGAGTTTGGGGGAAATAGACCTTGACATTCAGGAGTTGTAGTTACTGGGATTTATAGTTCACCTACAATCAAGGAGCATTCTGAACCCCATCAATGACAGAATTAGGGCAAACTTCCCACACAGAACCCTCATGACCAACAGAAAATACTGTGTTTTCTGGTGGTCTTTGGCAACCCCTTTCACACAACCCTCACAACCCCCCCCCCCGGGGTCCCAAACCCCAGGTTGAGAAATGCTGCCTTAAGGCCATCCAGTCCAACTCCCTTCACCAGGGCAAGAAAACATAATCAAAGCCCTCCTGACAAAGGGCCATCCAGCCATTCACACACACACACACACACACACACACACACACACGACATTTGGGATTTGTAATTGCTGGGATTTATTGTTCACCTACAATCAAAGAGCATTCTGAATCCCACCAATGATAGAATTGGGCCAAACCTCCCACACAGAACCCCCATGTGGACCACAGCAAAGCGTGGCAGGGGACAGCTAGTATATAATAATAATAATGTAATATCATAATACTAATATATTAAATGGAATCAGAGTTGGAAGAGACCTCATGGGCCATCCAATCCAACCCCCTGCCAAGAAGCAGGAATATTGCATTCAAAGCACCCCCGACAGATGGCCACCCAGCCTCTGTTTAAAAGCTTCCAAAGAAGGAGCCTCCACCACACTCCGAGGCACAGAGTTCCACTGCTGAACAGCTCTCACAGTCAGGAAATTCTTCCTAATGTTCAGATGGAATCTCCTTTCTTGTAGTTTCTTGAATTATATATTACCAGTAGTAATTGATATAATTACTACTGGTAATATATAATAATATATAATATAATTTTAACTGGAGTTAAAATTGCTGGAAGAAACATTAACAACCTTAGATATGCAGATGATACCACTTTGATGACTGAAAGTGAGGAGTTGAGGATCCTTCTAACCAAAGTGAAAGAAGAAAGTACAAAAGCTGGGTTGCAGTTAAACATCAAAAAACCAAGATTATGGCAACCAGACTGATTGATAAGTGGCAAACAAAGGGAGAAAACGTGGAGGCAGTGACAGACTTTATATTTATAGGCACAAAGATTATTGCAGACACAGACTGCATCCAGGAAATCAGAAGACGTTTACTTCTTGGGAGGAGAGCAATGACCAATCTCGATAAAATAGTGAAGAGTAGAGACATCACACTGGCAATGAAGATCCATATAGTTAAAGCAATTGTATTCCCCATAGTAACCTATGGATGTGAGAGGTGGACCATAAGGAAGCTGAGCGAAGGAAGATAGATGCTTTTGAACTGTGGAGGAAAATTCTGAGAGTGCTTGGACCGCGAGAATTTCCAACCAGTCCATACTTCAGGAAATAAAGCCTGACTGCTCACTGGAAGGAAGGATATTTTCAGCAATTGAAAAAGCCAAAGACAAAAGTGGGAGGAGGAGAGAGAGAGACTGGAACATTTTAAAAGCAGCTGAAAATGTGGGATGAGAAAGGACTAATTCAGATTGTCCCTGCCAGAACTGGAAAAGTTTGGCAGCATGCATCAGATCTCAATTTTTCTCCACAAATGTTTTGTCATCAGTTAATCATAGATACCTTTTTTCTTTCTAGAAGCAGCTTTGTTCTTTGGAGATCTCCCAGGCATGGATAAAGCACCTAAAGAGAAGGAGAGGGCCAAATAGTATCAGACAAGATTGTGAAACTTGCCGAGTGTAATATGAGCAAATATTTATTACAATTATTAGTCACTTTTGGATCATGTCTTTCCTGCAGAGAACTCAAAGGGGTGACGTTGGCTTGGCCCTCTTCCATTTGTTCCTCACAACAACCCCGTGAAGGAGTTCTGGTTAAGAAAACATAACTGATCCACGATTCAATGAATTTTACAGTTCAGCGAGCATTTTAGACTTGCTTTTCCAAGGCCCTTTCCACACAGATGAATAAAATCTCACATTATCTGCTTCGAACTGAGTTAAATGGCAATGTGGACTCAGATAAACCAGTTCAAAGCAGATATATGGCTGTGTGGAAGGGCCTTTCGTCTCAGTCCAACATACCATTGAGGGAGACGTAGTTTTCAAAAGGGAATTTTCATTTATGCTTTCAATGACTGTAAATCCCATAGATTTACTGCCATATGTCCTGGTTTGCAGAGGCCTTTGTTTGCAGAAGGTGTTGCCGGTTTGCTGCAGAGAGGAAGTTACTTTTTAAGTATAAATGTGTATCAGGACAGAACTAATTAGCTTGAACTCCCCTAATTTCACAGCCGCTTGAAATATCAACCTATAGATACTTTCCAACTGAGAGTTCATGGCCAGAGAACAATAGACTATAGTTGTGCATTTTGTTAAGATCCCACGTGTGCCTTCCTGCCTGTTAGAATTATGGAGAGCCAATGAACATGTGTATAGCCAGCTCAGACCAATGAGATAATTGATTGCTGTATACCAATGAGAATGTGTCTTTAATTCTCTGTCAAAGTGATAAAAGCCTTGCAATCCCATTTGGGAGTGCAACAGACCTTTTTATGCTCAGTGCATTCTGTCCCTATTGCTTTAGCCCGCAATAAACAGCTTCTGCAGTTGGGCTTCAACTTGCGCTGTGTCTTCCATTACATTGTCCTCTTGAGCCCCCAAAGGACTCCTGGCAACATGCAAAGCGCTGGAGGGGCGCCAGTGAGCCACTGCCCTATAACCCTGTAACTTGTAATTCTTACTGGTTGGATATTTGGACATAAATAAAGACATACTTTAATTAACAAAGTACTACTATCCTTATATCCCAGGATCTGATCCCAGGTTATCTGTTTTGAACTGAATTATATTATATTATTTATTTACGACATTTATATGCTGCCGTTCTCAACCCAAAGGGGACTCAGAGCAGCTCACAAGATATATATACATACAATATAATATATTATTAGAATAGTACAATATCAGTATTATATATTACTATATTGTATGTTACCATTATATTGTAATATTATTAGTAATATTACATGTAATATAAAATATATAATTATAATATTATATTATTGTTATTAGTATTATATTGTATTACCTTATAACATTATATTGTGTGCATATACAATATATTACATTACATTATATTATATTATTAGTATATCACAGGAGACAAGATGGAACTGTCCCCTGGCCCTCCCTCTCTTCACTCTGGCCCAGAGCAGCAATTGGTGCTGGGGGGAATGGTCCCCAACGGATGACATATGCAGGAGACAAGATGGAACTGTCCCCTGGCCCCCTCTCTCTTCACTCTGGCCCAGAGTGGCAGTTGGTGCTGGGGGGAGGGTCCCCAACTGATGACATATGCAAGAGACAAGATGGAACTGTCCCCTGGCCCCCTGTTTTTTCACTCTGGCCCAGAGCAGCAGTTGGTGCTTGGGAGAAGGGTCCCCAACTGATGACTTATGCAGTAGACAAGATGGAACTGTCCCATGGGCCCCACTCTTTTCACTCTGGCCCAGAGCAGCAGTTGATGCTGGGGGGAAGGGTCCCCAACTGATGACATATGCAGGAGACTCTGGCCCAGAGCGGCAGTTGGTGTCCCCAACTGATGACATATGCAGGAGACAAGATGGAACTGTCCCCTGGCCCCCTCTCTTTTCACTCTGGCCCAGAGAAGCGGTTGGTGTTTGTGGGGAGGAGTCCCCAACTGATGACATATGCAGGAGATAAGATGGAACTGTCCCCTGCCCCTCTTCACTCTGGCCCAGAATGGCAGTTGGTGTTGGGTGGAGGGGTCCCAAACTGATGACAGATGCAGGAGACAAGAGAGAACTGTCCCCTAGACCCCTCTCTCTTCACTCTGGCCCAGCACGGCAGTCGGTGCTGGGGAGAAGGGTCCCCAACTGATGACATGCAGGAGACAAGATGGAACTGTCCCCTGGCCCCCTCTCTTATACGAGGGGGCAACTGCCAGATAATTTAGGATAAACGGATAATCTGGGATCAGATCCTGGGACATAAAGACAGTGTAGAAAGGGCCAAAGTAGACGTGTTCCTGGGCTTTACTTATTTAGCAAGGAAAAGAAGAGCAGCTCAATGTTTTTTAATAAACATTTCATTCAAAACAAATTATATTCACATGTGAGATGAAACAACTGGGGCAAGTAAGCCTTGATAAGTAAACAAAAACATTTCAAATCTTCTAGCCATCACTTCCAAAATTTATCCTGAGATGTTTTTTTTTCTTTTTCTTTTGACAGCCTCAGATCTTTTTTAATGATTTCTATTTTGATGGCAGAGCTTTTAGATCTATGCTCTTTCAGCATACCA